CATGGATGCCGAAGTTACTTTCCCAAAACATGAAGAATGTTTTCCATATAGGGGACTTTATCATCATCTCCACAGCTCTTGCCCAGAAACATGGACAAAAAAAGATGGACAAAAACTATTTGGGCATTTACACTTCATAGATTTTCAAGTCTTCATGAAAATTTCCCTGCCCAGTTGTTTCCTAAGATGCGGTGCACCTTTTCATAGCAGTAATTTACTTCTCTAGTTTTCTTACTCATCTTTGCCGCCACTTTTAGGGAGCGTCTCTAGTGTTCTATTATTATTGCATTGAAATATTTCTGCCCACTGATTTTGTCTTCTTCCACTTATCCATCGGCTACTAAACAATTCTGTTTGGGAGTTTATTTGATAGAATTACAAAGGAGCAGGTAAGTACTGCACAACAAATTGATTTATCACATCTACTTACTTTGACATTCTTTGTATGGTAGATAAGTAATAGGGCAAGTGCAAGCTACAACTATCCTTAAAGCTAGAAAAATTGGAGTGATTATCTGAGTATTTTGATCAAAGGAGGGAGGAAAATTGCTGAGAAGAGGGGATGTGAAAATACTCAATTGTATTTCAGCTTGTCTTTGTTTCCCTTTCCCTGCCTTACATACTGGCAGAAATTGCTCATGGTATTATAATAATTCTTTACCACAAGAGCATCTACATGTAGCAACATCTGAAATGTCAAAGTGCTTCATAACAATCAACACTACCCCCTGTGTTGGGCTTCTCCATTAAGAGTGTCCCTGCAGAGCTCTTGCTGTAATCTGTTACTATGCTCTTTGGATTCTTCTTTGCATTCTCTCCCCCGTTCTCTGATCCAAGTGACATGTCTGGAGAATTTGTCAAAATTCACCAAGATGAGCTGCTTGGCACTCTGCACTCTTACAAATACACTTCCATTTGCACTGCAAAGTTGGCTGGAAGGAGAATTTGTGCTTGGCTGTACATATGGTATTGTTGGCAGCTGTGCCTTTGGCTCTGCCACAGGAAGCATTACACTGTGCCTAAAGGTATTCGTATATCATTTCCACACCCTACGTTTGGACTTATTTATAACATGTTTTTGCAACCAAGCATGGAAGCAACTTTTAGCATCACATCAACCAACTCTACCATTTCTAAATATGTTTGCGTTGAAATTGCTTTCCATGGGCAAAGCGTTCCCTGTGCTCTGAAATTCTCCAACTAACGTGGGCCTTTGAAGCTGCAATTCCACATTTCCAAAGAAATACAGAACATTTGGTCAAATTGGCAGTAGGGCGCATGAGGACATTTTTCCTTTTCTACTGACCCCATTTTTTAAAAAAAAGAAGACAGTACAGCTACACAGATAGATACAAAAGTTTCCTGAGATGAACCTTGTGTGCATATGCAATCACACTACACACCTCTTCTGAGTTATCTGATTGCAAAATTACTTCGTTCAAGCACTTTTATGTGTTTCCCAGTTTATCTTCAAATTTTAATTCATATCCCACAGACAAAATTTGATTGCATTTAAACTCCACATGTTCTCCAGTAACAGACTCCCACACATTACTTTGTCCATAATAGGCCTTAGGAGTATAATTTTCAGCCTCTCAAACAGAGCCGCTTTTCTGTCCGCCTTATGCTCATACTTTCTGAAGTTTGATGCCATATTTTGCAGCTAATCTGTCCAGGAAGAAATGTTTTCCCTAAAGGTAACTTTTTGCTCCTGCAGGTTCTAAATCAGTTCAGCACAAACACATTAGGCAGGCTCTTTTGTTGAACGTCAAAAAGCAGGGTTTGAGTATGGGATTCCTCTTGCCTGCGCTAATTCATCATAAGATGTTTCACTTTAAAAATGTTCCCAACTTTTGTTCGACCGTTTTCTGTAGTTGTGCCAGTAGACCAAGATGTGAAAATAAATCTATTTCTTAAGAAAATCATTGTATTTCTTATTGCAGCCATTCAACAACAACAAATGGTATTTCTAAAGACCTGATGGGGATCTGATGGTCATTCACAAAGAAAGATCTGTTTCCCAGCATCTTTTCAAGGAAAAATGACACATTGGCCTTTTCAGATGTAACACATGGTTTACTGTTACAAAAATAAGCCTTTTCAGATGTAACACATGGTTTACTGTTACAAAAATAAGCCTTTTCAGATGTAACACATGGTTTACTGTTACAAAAATAAGCTTCAAGCTCATGCTCTCTCCTCCTTTTTCAGCACAGCCTGTGGAGATCAGAATCTTTTACATCACATTAAAACACAATTATTGAACTGGCCAAACCATGACAGCAGGATAAACTCACTAGGTGACTTTGAGCCAGTCACTACCTCTCAACCTACCCTACTTCACAGGGATTTTGTGAGGATTAAATAAGGAGGAACAGGAGAACCATGTAAACCACCTTGAGCTCTTTAGACAAAAAGGTAGAATACAAATGCAACAACAATTATTAATAAAGGAATTCAACAGCTGATTTATAAACTTGAAAATTGAAAGGAAAGGGGTTAATGAAATCCTGCTTTTCTTTTGAGGGCAAGCAGTTTAATATCATATAGGTGCTCCTATTTCCCACCCTAAAAATATACAATCTGGAAATCCAGTTTTCTCTTTCCTCAATTTCCTTTCCTCATTTGCATCCTATTGGACATGTTTACTCCATGAATATACAATGAAGCAGGCCAAAGCCAGTGAAAATTCAAGGACTGTAAAAAGAATCTGTAACATTTCATGTTGCTTTGACAACATGAGGTATTCAACATTTTAATATTTTTTTCTTGTCATTTTTTTTCTGGGTTAATGCTCTGCACACTTTATGTGCCTCCTGCAATACAGTTAAACTCTGGCCTCATTGCTTTATCCAGTTACAAACTTTTATATTTAAGTATTCCATTATTAGATGCAACTATTGCTTACGAAATGTGTGTTCTTATTCTCCCCATTTATCACAACAGAATATAGACTTGTATCACATGGTGGATTTGAACTAGCATAACCTTTCCTGCTAGCACAAGCTGAGGAATCCAATCCAAACATCCACTCATTACAGCCCTCTGTTGTCACATCCCATATTGTTCCAGAGGTGTCCCCACAACCCTCAGGAGCAGCTTTGAGAAATTTTTTTGGGGGGAGGGGGCAGACAGCACTGGGTAGGAGAAATTGGAGAAACTCAAATGTCCTGCCTTGCAAAAGTCGAATCCTAAAATATTTTTTTCATTTGTGTTATTAAGCTCATAAGCAACACTAAACGTGCATCTATATTGTGTGCACCTACTGTATATATTTGCAGTCCTCATGTGAATATTGTCTTCAGAACTGCTGTATTTATGGCTTTTTTAAAAAGAGGTGCACACTTGGTTTCTTTCATTGTGGCACCTACTGTGCTCTCATCTAGGCTCTGGAACAGCTGCAATGCAAAATGTACTCTTTATAAAGGCTTCAAGATTCAAGGGGGTCTGTGCCTACAACACCTATTCTGTATCTACTACCAGTGGCAATGTGGTCTAAACAACTGAGCCTCTTGGGCTTGCCGATCAGAAGGTTGGCGGCTCGAATCCCCACAATAGGGTGAGCTCCCATTGCTCTGTCCCAGCTGCTGCCAACCTAGCAGTTCGAAAGCATGCCAGTGCAAGTAGATAAATAGGTATTGCTGTGGCAGGAAAGTAAACAGTGTTTCCATGCACTTTGGCTTCCGTCACAGTGTCCCCGTTGCACCAAAAGCAGTTTAGTCATGCTGGCCACATGACCCGGAAATCTGTCTGTGGACAAACACCGGCTCCCTTGGCCTGAAAGCGAGATGAACACCACAACCTCATTGTCGGCTTTGACTGGACTTAACCTTCCAGGGGTCCTTTACCTATCCACTACAATGGTTATGCATCTGAGCTCAAATCATAGTGAGAGTTTTAACCCTTAAAAACCTTAATCACAACTGTCACATTCTCTGATTGGCTTGGTATACAAGAACAGCTCTCAGAAATAATGACTAGATATATCCCACATATAGAAATCTATTTGGAAAGAAAGGTTTAAAATGATAACAAAGCCCCAAGAAGCCTAATTTCACCCCAGCATAACGATTGTGTCTAGTGAATTCATAGGTACAACGTTAAAAATTATAAACTGGGATAGCACAGTTGGTAGAGCAGGAGACTCTTATCTCAGAGTCAGGACCCCCACGTTGGGCAAAAGATTCCTGCATTGCACGGGGTTGGACTAGATGACCCTCAGGGTCCCTTCCAACTCTATCTAAGATTGATCGATCATTGCCCCACAAATGGGGCATGTTCTTTTGTTGAAAACGAAAGGATCAGACACCTTCAAGGAAAGCAGCGGGTGCTGGATACTCTTCCCCCAACCCTCCCCTGTAGGCCAAGGCTTGCAAAGGTGAAGAAAGCTATGGCAGCAATAATATTTGCTTACAGGGGCACACCCACCCATACTGATGGTCTCTGAGGAAAAGCTGCCCTGCCCCTCCTCCTTATCCTGACCGAGGATCTTTTGTTTCCTCGGTAGTTTCAATTCTTCGCCCTGCCCTTATCGTGCAAATTGGGACAAGGAAAACGTGCCTGGCTTCAGGGGCTGCCAAAGAAAGAAAGGGAGGAGAAGGAGGAGGGAGGGAGGGAAAGTCCCTCTCCGGAGAGAAGTTGCTTGTTTTCGCGGGAGGCTGTCGAACAGAAATGAAGACAGCTCCCTAGCCTGGAAAAATAAATATATATCTCTCTAATTTGCTTATCAAGAGGAGGCGGTAAGAAGGAACGAGATGCGGAGGAGTGGGTGGGTGAGGGGGGTTCGCTTCTCTCGCCAGAGCAGCTCGGTTCGCCCTTTATCTCCAGGGCTCCCAGAGGCGCTGGTGGCCGCGCTCTGTCCGAAACCAGACCCAGGGACAGAGAGCAGCCGACGGCTCCCGTCCGCGCCGCCGACAGTCCCTCCCGAAGGGGAAGCGCCAGCGGCGGCTGGAGGTGGAGGAGGGGAGGGACAAAGGGCGGGTGGCAACTCCGGCGCAGGTGACAACCAAGTTGGGCTCCTTCGGCGCGCTCGTGCGTATTCGTGTCTCCGACTTCAGGCACTTCCCTCGTTCCCGCCTCCTTCGAAAAAAGAAAAGAGAGGAGGGAGCGAGGGAGGGAGGGAGGGGAAGTGGGGGGAAACCCTCGAGGCTGTGGGGAGATTAAAAACGAGGAGCGAGTAATAAATCAATCCCCAGTTGCCTGAGGAAGGGCGGACAGAGACAGAGGCAGGGCACTGGGGGAGAGCGCTCCCGCCGGCCGTCGGAATGCACCTGAAAGACAAAGTGGCTCTGGTCACGGGGGCAGCGCAGGGCATCGGGAACGCCTTCGCCCGAGCCTTGCTGGAGAAGGGCTGCAAGGTAAGGAAGTGGGGGGCGAGGGACCGCGGCATCTGGGCTCGCGCCTTCTCCGCGTCGCCTCCGCCTCGCTCCGAGGACGCAGCGACCAACCGGGCTCCTCCTCTGCGTGCGCGCCGTGGCTCCCGCGAAGCTATTGGTCTTCCTCCCGCGTTTGCTGTGGGCTGTGAAGCTCGTGTGTGTGTGAGTGAGAGAGAGAGTGCCTGTTTCAAAGTATGCTGCGTATGTGTAAAATGCATACATTTACGTGCTCAAATGTATCCACGGTGTCTGTATTCGAAATGATACTTACCAATGCTACAGACACGTGTACCTACACAGTATACGTGTGTTTCTCTGTTTGCATACACGTATGTATGCGTTTGCTTAGCCGTCACTATAGAGACAAAACCTTAGCCATATATACACTCAAGGTCAGATCTATTCCTAGTAAGTCAGAAAGAAGTCCCTTTGAATTCAATGGGCCTTATTTTGTTTTGTTTTTATTCTTTAGTTATCAAATAGGATATACTGCTATTCATTAAAAAGAATCAGAGTACCTGTCTTGCCAGGAAAGCTTTTAATATTTGAAGAATTCTTGTATTTTAATATTTTGCTGGAAGCCGCCCAGAGTGGCTGGGGAAACACAGCCAGATGGGTGGGGTATAAATAATATATTATTATTATTATTATTGTTGTTGTTGTTGTTGTTGTTGTTGTTGTTGTTGTTGCCAGAGGCAAGGTGGTTCTTTTAAAATGAGATTGAGAAGTAATACAAAATATGCAAGTGAGTAAGAAGATTAAAGATTTTATTCTAAAACAGCAAGCGATGTATACATACCAAGCAAGCAGTTCAATCTGCCGCTTGGAAGAGACTCTCCCAGGTAGCCTCAGTTTGTAGGGCCCTGCGGCCGATCAGTCTGTGCACCAGCTTCAAAGAAACTCTGCCCAAACCATCCAATTTTATAGATAGCATTGCCAGACTCTGGCTTGCCAGACTCTGGCTTGCCAGACTGGCCATGTGCCGATGATCCATTAGCCACCCCCTCCCAATGCCTCACTTTCTCAAAACCATGTCCAACATCAAAGAAGGTACCCAGCATATCCTCCACACCTGATTAAGGCAGCTGTGTGGGGCTCCCAACTCTCTCAGGACATTAAAGACTGTTCTCATACCATCAAAAAGCTTAACATAAGCAAGGGAGGGGGAAGGAACAGAGGCAGGAATAACCATGTCAGATCACTAACTCCTCTCAATACATTTTGTCTTCTGGGTGCATTTCCCATACAGTAGTTTGCAGCAATTCTGCATTAAAAGCTATTTAATCAAAATTAAAATCAGAAGCCAACTATCTATTGTGGAAAGATAAGAGTCTTAATTACCTGCATAAGCCTAATACAATAATAATAATAATAATAATAATAAGTTTTTAGCTGGTGTTTAAAAGTTGAAACAGAAGGTGCCTTACTACCTGGCAAGTTGTTTTGCACATGCACTCAAAGATGCTTACTAGGAAGCGAGTCCCATCTGACATAGTGCCATTTACTTCTGCATAAACATCCATTGTATTGCACTGTTAGACACACGAAGCATCCGGCAAATATTAAACACTTTAAATGCCTATTGACTTAATTAGGAAAGATGGAAGCACAAGCTTAATCTTCCCTTTGAACAGGACATAAAAGTGCTTGTTAGCTGGATCATGCATGAACTTTATGGGCAGTGTATGTCTAGTATATACATTGTATACTGAATAACATGTAAACATAATTTCTTCACACATTATCTTATGTAATGCTAAGCAGCAGACTTTGGTAATTTTTCGGAATATGGCACACTGTGCAAGGCCAAAATTTGGCACCCCCAAATGGATCTTCTCAATTATGGATTATCTCAGTTTGGTGCCCCCTCTGAAGGGAACCACCTGTACTACCCAAAATCTCGTGCTGCCTAGATAGTCAGTCTTCTTATTACCCTCTAAAACAGATCTTCCATTCTCCCTATGAAGAACATAATCATTCTTTCTTATCTCTCATAATCTTATTGTCATTATCCTTTTCACTCAGGTAGCACTTGTGGATCAGAATGTGGAACGAGGAAAAGCAAGCAAAGATGCCTTTGACAAGCAGTTTGAAGCACAGAGGACCATATTTATTTCTTGTGATGTTTCAAGTGAAGAAAAACTAAAAGGTAAAGAGGTGTGTGTGTGTGTGTGTGTGTGTGTGTGTGTGTGTGTGGGTCCCCTGCTGTTTATCCTGTCAGAGTCAGGGGAAGAAAATATGTTATAGATATAAAATCTGTGCAGGTTAGGCTGTGGTGAAGAAAGCCGATATCCAACCAGGATTTATAAATGTGTAGGAAATCTACAAATGTGAAACAATAGCAATGTGTTTCCTCAATTGAATTAGTTGGCATATTACAAAGAAAAATAAATTACAGGATATTTTGTGATGTTTGTATGAACCCAATATGTGAAAAACTGTACCGTGTTTTGTTTTATTCTTAAACTTTAATACAGAACATTCCCACCTAGTCCATGACATTAGATATTGAAATAAGCATTATAAAAAAATGAAATTGAAAGCCAATTATCATATGTAGGGAAGAGAGATGAAAACATTTATTTCAAAACAGCTACTTGGTATTAAACCCAGTAGTATGGTTTAACATTAAAGGTAGCACTTCCTCTCCCATTTATGCATAACTAACATCATTTTAGTGTCCCCAAATTTAAAAAGCCATTTACAGTGCAGATTGAAAAGCTGTTCTTAGTGTCTGGAGGAATTGAGACTTGTTGGGAGTTTAGAGTTGTGTGCTGTAATCTTATGCATATTTACATAGAAGGAAGCTGACTTCTAAATGGCTACAATGGGACTTTGCTCAGTGCAGAGAACATTTCAGCAACTGATAGCATTTAATACAAGTTGTTATTTCACACATTTGTTCAGCAGTCCAAATAAGTAACACAGAAGCCCATAAAACTTGGACCGAGAGGCTTTTCATGAAAGATTCTGTCTGAATTTTGTTTTTTGTTATAACTCTTTATTAGCTGTATTAGTCTTCCTGGTACTATTTTCTGAACAGGAATGTGTGGTTATGTGATCACCATTTTTTTAAAAAAGAAAAGAAAACAGGTACTTACCTCAGAAAAACAATAGAGCAGAAAGATTTGGTGGGAGATGGTTTGTAAGGACTTATAAATTGTAATATTGGTCTAATGAAAACCATACGGTTTATAATTTGCACTATATGAATAATGATTTAAATTTGTTGCATTTTTATTGAATGAAAATTAAATTGGAAGAAAAAAAACAGTCATTGGCAAATACACAAAGTAGGATATTAATCAAAATACTAGAATAGCAGGATTCTTTTCAGTTAATGGGAGGGTTTTGGTATAGTCACACTTTCTTATAAGAAAGTGCATAGGTTAAAACTATGGAATTTGCTCCCACAGAAAGTAGATGGCCATTAACTTGGATGGCTTTAAAAGAGACTGGAGGATAAAGTTTTCAACAGCTAATTACCATATTTGCTATGTTCTGCCTCCACTGTTGGAGACAGTATGCTTGCAAATGCAATTTGCTGGAAATTTCAGGTCAGGAGAGCATAGTTCTGCTCGGGTTCTGCTTTTGGACTTCCCACTGGCAACCAATTAGCCACTGTGAGAACAGGATGCTAGACTAGATAGGCCATTGGACTGATCCAGCAGGTGGCTCCTGTGTCTAGTAGCAGTCATGCATTGCCCCAGTTATAATCCATTTAAAGTAAAATAACTGAGTCTACACAAAGTAGCTGCTTGCAATGCTAACAGGTGGGGAAACACTTCCTAATAGAGAGAGCTATCTCTAAATGCAAAACAAAAACAAAACACAGAAGCGTACACTGTGGTGTAGCCAGTGTAATGTAGTTGTTAGGAGCAGTAATCTGGTGAACTGGGTGTGTGTCTCCGCTCCTCCACATGCAGCTGCTGGGTGACCTTGGGCTAATCACTTCTCTGAAGTCTCTCAGCCTCACTCACCTCACAGAGTGTTTGTTGTGGGGGAGGAAGGGAAAGGAGATTGTTGGCCGCTTTGAGACACCTTAGGGTAGTGATAAAGCAGGATATCAAATCCAAACGCTTCTTCTGTCAGCCTAGCAGGATTGTACAACTATGGCTGGTGGTAAAGCTAAATCATTTCTAGGTTATGGGATTTAAGGGGATGAGTTGACAATATCTAGGAATGAAGCAGTTTGTGGACTCTTGGTGCAAATATTTGTCTATTAATTATCATGGACCCTAGAGAACTATTGGGGGGGATAGATCTTTAGTAACAGCTTTAGAAAGGAGATAATAATAATAATAATAATAATAATAATAATAATAATAATAATTTATTATTTGTACCCCACCCATCTGGCTGGGTTTCCCCAGCCACTCTGGGCGGCTTCCATAGAAACAAAAAATACAGTAAAATATCACAGATTAAAAGCTTCCCTGAACAGGGCTGCCTTAAGATGCCTTATAAATGTCAGGTAGCCATTTATCGCTTTGACATCTGATGGGAGGGCGTTCCACAGGGTGGGCGCCACTACCGAGAAGGCCCTCTGCCTGGTTCCCTGTAGCTTTGCTTCTCGCAATGAGGGAACCGCCAGAAGGCCCTCGGCGCTGGACCTCAGCGTCCGGGCAGAACGATGGGGGTGGAGACGCTCCTTCAGGTATACTGGGCCGAGGCCGTTTAGGGCTTTAAAGGTCAACACCAACACTTTGAGATATCAAGAACTAGTCAATTTTTGCTCGATTAATAATTTCCTTAATCTGTGATTGTATTACAGATTATGTCTATACATTAAAAAACCACAAATCATATCATTTTGTTCTGAAAGGATTAACCTGTATAATTACCATCCTCTGATGATAATTCTGTATTCATATTTACTTAAACACATTGGAATCTGCATGAGGATCCTACTGTTCACATGGAAACAAATCCTATCATGAGCACCAGGAACCCCTTTACTAATTCGGTTTTTCATCTTTGCAGACACTAGGGTTACCTAATGCTTTGCTCTGAAACAAAACACAAAGCCAGATTCAGGGAGGCCATTCCTCCGGCCCCTACCTAAAGAGCCCTACAAAAACTTTTATGTTACCAAGGGACAGGCAAGACTAACATACCAACATTGAGGGGCTGAATCAATTTATCCATTCAATTGATAAAATGTTATCATACGATACAAATATACTTTATGAAGAATTAAGGAAGTGCTATAGATGAGTACAATTCTTTGTATTCACATTTAAGCAAAATTCATACTTTAGATCATGTTGTTGCCATCATTCTAGAATGATGAATTGTATGGAAATAATGAAAAAATATATTTTCACTCTAACCCCTATTTGCTTGCAGATGCTTTTAAGAAGGCATTTGAACATTTTGGAAAGCTGGATATTGTGGTTAACAATGCTGGAGTGAATAATGAAAAAAACTGGGAAATCACAGTCCAAGTTAACTTGGTAAGCTTAATTCATACATTAAATATTTCCATTTAAAAAAAAAAAACCTGTACAGCATTATAAATGCTAGGATCGATGGCCACTAACAGTTTTAAGATTGTTGCCCTGTACGCAGTTACTCTGGACTAAGTCCCATTGAACGTAGTGGGATTTGAAATACTATGGAGATGATCGTACTGTACAGAACCTGTGCAACAGTGAGGATGAGGATGAGGAACATAGTGTGCATGTTTACAGTAGTACCTTGGGTTAAGAACTTAATTCGTTCTGGAGGTCCGTTCTTAAGCTTAAACTGTTCTTAACCTGAGGTACCACTTTAGATAATGGGGCCTCTCACTGCCACTGTGCCACCGCCGCATGATTTCTGTTCTCATCCTGAAGCAAAGTTCTTAACCTGAGGTACTATTTCTGGGTTAGCGGAGTCTGTAACCTGAAGCGTCTGTAACCTGAGGTACCACTGTACTTACTTCCAATGGCACTTCCTTCCAGGTATGCATACACAGAATTGTGGCCAGAAAGAAGTTCACACTTGGCTTAGTGGTTTAATAACTATGTAAAAGTGCACCTGAAGTAATAATACAATGCTAAATTCTGTCTTCTAGTACGCTACATTTCTTACAAGACAAAGTTAAATTGCAGTTTCATTTACTTGTAATCGTTGCTTGTACTGCTATTTTAGTATGACAAACTAAACTGCATCTCAGTGGCTGGGTATGGTGATGAAAAAATACTGGCAGATAGATCCAGCAATGAGCACTGTGAGCATTGTGTCAGTACTCTGCTGAAACCTGGCTGGTCTCCAGGAATGATTACATACTTATTTACTTTTGATATTGCCTCAATATGTAAAGCACAATTCAAATGAAAAGCAGGACCTAAACAAGGTCATTGTCCTAGTTTCAAGTACAAAGGCAATAAACAGCACAGTACAAAACTCTATAAACTAAAACAAATAAAGGAGAGGGTGTCGGCCTTAAGACCACAATGAGCTTTTGAAAAGAAGGAGAAAGGTAACAAAGAATGGTGTTTTAATGTCCCCTAGGGTAGTACAAGAAAATGCAGAATAAAACAAAACATGTGAAAACAGATTGCTCAAAATGATCGAGAGCTTCATTTGTGCATATTTCATAACAGCAACAGTGTTTGTGCAGGCTTGTTCACATGTTGCACTGAATACACGTATAAGCTGTCTCTACACATGCACAAGTGTTTGTGTGAAAGAGTGTACACTTGTACAGCTCAACTACTGTGTACACATTCAAATGTTACATGTGAATAACTGTGAGTGTAGAGCTCAACTATTTGTGTACACAAATTTTACATTTGTTGAATGTAACTTGTGAACACACCTTATATAATTGGCATTAGAATGTCCTATCAGGGAAACAGGCTTAAACTGAAAGTCTTATACAGTATCTGATTTCTCATTTAAGGTGTGAAAAGTAAGTCCGTAGTAAGCATGGTTAGGATTCCATTCTTAAATCTCATAATGAAGTAGCTTAATAGCCTAAAAGATTGCAAAAGGCCATAGATTCATGGCACATAGAACACAGAAGCAGGCTGAGTCTATGGCATGTTCAGTTTCAAAGATTTTAAAAGTCTAGTAAACACTTTGGAGACCTGTTGCTGGTCAAGTTAGTTCTAGTTTAGATGAACTAGTGGTTTATCTCAGCATAAGGCAGCTCAGTATACAGTATTGGTGGTGGTGGTAGTGGTAGCCATCTGTCACAGGAGACAGTGCCTCCATTGGTGAAGTCAGACCACTGCATAAGCAGTACCAACATGACCTCCCTGGGGCACAAGCCTGGGCAGTGTGTATGAAGGTCCTGGGCTTCCCAGATGACCCTCCCCACTTGGCTTTGCTAATGTGGTCCAAAGGAAAGCAGAGCAATATGTTTGGCACCAGCTTGACTGCAGGTGTTGTCAGAAAGAGATGTACAAGGCACCATCAACTGTGTTTGGATTTGATATCCCGCTTTATCACTACCCGAAGGAGTCTCAAAGCGGCTAACATTCTCCTTCTTCCCCCACAACAAACACTCTGTGAGGTGAGTGGGGCTGAGAGACTTCAAAGAAGTGTGACTGGCCCAAGGTCACCCAGCAGCTGCATGTGGAGGAGTGGAGACGTGAACCTGGTTCACCAGATTATGAGTCCACCGCTTTTAACCAGTACACCACGCTGGCTCTCTGTCTTAGGGCTCCATTCCAAATTTGTGTAGGTTTTACTCCTTAGCCTTTTCTTTTCCCAAAGATATCCTGCAAGGCAGCAGATACAGATTTTCCCTGGGGTTTACTCCCAAAGCCCTTATCAGGAAACAGCATAGCCGCAAGGCATCAGAGATTATGGATCAGGGTATTCCTTATCCTCAATGAGCTACTTTCCTAGGGTAACGAGCCCCATCTGCCCCGCATTTTCCTCTACAGTGCATGCTGAAATAGCCGTCTTGACCATTGGACCACTATTGGTCTTGTCCAGTCAATCTGCCAGAAGCCCATAACTAACCAAGGTTTTGAGACCCATCAGCTACCCTCTCCTGGTTTAGCCAGCCAGTCAAAGCCCTTTCCCAGGTATGGCCACTGTCACATGCTGACAGCTTCTAGAAGCAAAGAAGGAGCTTGTGTCTCCCACCAGAGGTACCACCCCTCCCCTAACACCCCAGACAGCATATACTGTACATTATATGAGCTGTTAATTAGTATCAGCTAATCAGTAAAGTGGTTTGCACTTTGTAGTGATGATTATATGCCTGCTGTTTTCAGGATGAAGGCAGTGACTTCCACAGCTTTTTATGTATTCCTGTCCTTTGCTGAATCTCTATGCCAGGCATAGGCAAACTTGGCCCTCCAGATATTTTGGGACTACAACTCCCATCATCCCTAGCTAACAGGACCAGTGATCAAGGATGATGGAGGTTGTAGTCCCAAAACATCTGGAGGGCCAAGTTTGCCTATGCCTGCTCTATGCAACTGATTACATATTTTTTTTAAAAGCAATGCATAAGCCAAATCTGCTGTTAGTAAGAAATGGAAATGCTCAAAGGCATTTTAAAGAAGGCGAATTTTGATTGCATGTGGTTTGTTCAGGCACGTTTTTATTCAATTAACTGGTAGACCAAAACAATAATTGTTCCCTTTTATACATCTATTAGTTCCCTTATGTAAACTCCTTACACACACATACTAGAGGCAAAAACTGGATAACAAAACATATTGTCCTGTCGCATCTCACAAAAATCATCCTGACACAGAACCTTCTCATGCAGGATTTAAGATAAAGTTGGTAAGAGAGAGCAAAATATTGCCTTTTAAATGGACTTTGCTGCTGCATGACTCAGTCTTGATTTTTATAGCTTCATTGTGATATTAATTGATAATTTGGGATATATAGCATTAACTTTTGTATTTTGTTTGCTACTTTGAATATTTTTATAGCAAGACAGTAAAGCTATATTAAAATAAATAAAAATAAATAACAAACCACGGGTTTTTAAATTTTGAGTTCTATTAAAAATTAATGGGGAGGGGATCTTGCCCTTCAGTGGGAACTTTAGTACTTTAGTAGAAACTTTAGTAGAAAATATAGAAATATTTTCTACCCAAATTAAGGAAAGTTGAAAGTACTTCAGTTTAAATGGATCTACCCTTAGTTGTGAATTGATCACTGGTTATTACTAGTGTAAAGATTAGCAAATGTGTGCTGTTTGTTGTAGAACTATCAGGCAAATGACACATAGGATAAGCTGGTGTCTAAATGCTACTACGTACAAAATTAGCATAAGCTACTAAGGCTTTTAACAAGCATTTGTGTTGAAAAGTGTGCAGATGTTCATAATGTTCACAATGAAGAAAGATGGTAGTAATATGCTTGACAAATGAAAGGGTATAGGAGAAAAATCTGTTAATGGGAGGTGTGCCTAGAGGGTGATGTTGAGACAGAGGGTATTTACTTGAGTTCTAGGACTGATGAAGGGTTACATATGGCAGGATACCCACACCTCTAGATTTTCCTCTTCGAAACTGGATGACATAAGAGGAAGTTGACATGATGCGTTTCTTCTTCTTCATAATTTTGCTTGCATCATAATGAGTGAGACAGGCCTGGTGGTAAATGTTCATATTCATACTTGCAGGACTAGAAGCTGCCAGAAAAAATAATAATTATGCAACTGAAAAGAGCTATTGGGGAAGTCAGTTATGTCCTGGTTAAGAAGTGGAGAGCATTTGAAAGACTTGCTTTGGATGAGTACAAGATCCAGGGCCAGGGGGTGGGGCATGTAGACAATCCATATGTGATGAACAAGGAAATCCGAGTCACTTATTATTCTTCCTGTCACTAGTTCTTCAGAGTGCTCAAAGCAAATGAGTACCCAGAACAGACATCAGAGAGAAGACATGCTGTGCATAACATTATGATTACTTTTTGCATATTCAGACCCAGAGACCTCCCCCCTAAATAAATTCACACATGACTCAAATTTTAGTTTTGTTTTTTGGCAGAATTTAGGCCACAACTTTATTGATTACAGAAGGTGAGTGGTTGCATAGGCTCTGGTTCGACTATCTCCCTGCACCCTTGGAGGCAGCGCTGACCCAGGGCACCAGCATAAGTTAGTCAAGAGTGAACACCTGGGAAGGTGAAAAGCCGGGAACAGACTCTGTTCACCACCCAGATGCCCCCCTGGACTCAGGCACAACCCCCTCATAGCGGTTGACCAAACCAGTTGAATCCCTGGATTCCTTTAATAGAATTCCCTTCACATAGGGATGACGAGACCGCTCCCCCACCCCTATCGCTGGAACTAGTGCCTATCCACAACCTTACAAGTTATGACAATTTGCTGCGCGGCAGGCGAAACCCAAATGGCAACAGCCAATCAGCCAAGTGGGCAAATTCCTGCCGTGCCCCTGTCCCAGACAACAGACAACACACGACTGCATAGCAAGGTCAATTGCACAATGCCCTAAAAATAAGGAGAGGTGGGCAGGTGTTCCGAATGCACAAGCTGAAAGAGGAAGCTCTGGGTCACGTGCATGGGTATATATAGGTCCCTTGATCCATTTGGACTGCGCCCCATTGGTCAAATTGAACCCAGCAATGAGGGACCTACCAATCGGGTGTTGTGGCTGAGCAATCCAACCCATCCACAAGACAGGAGGTTGGTCTCCAGGTCTCACCACAACATGTGCCCTCTTTTAGGGAGGACACGATTTAACCAGTACTGCATACCCTGGTGTCTTAGCTAACTGAAGCGTATCATAACACTAGAACTCGTGGGAATCCATTGAAGCTGGCTATTCAGGACAGACAGTCCAGGTGTCATAAGAAAGCTGCAGAGATAGTGCAGGATAGTACGCACCCTGGAAATGATCTCTTTCAGCTTCTGCCTTCTGGAAGAAGGTACAGGGTTATAAAGACTAGGACTAGCCGCCTGAGAAACAGTTTTTATACAAATGAGATTTTGGTTTTAAGCACGGTATAAGGACGGGGGTGGTGCTGTGGTCGAAAACACTGAGCCTAGGGCTTGCCAATCGGAAGGTCGGCGGTTCAAATCCCCGTGACGGGGTGAGCTCCCATTGCTCGGTCCCAGCTCCTGCCAACCTAGCAGTTTGAAAGCACGTCAAAGTGCAAGTAGATAAATAGGTACCGCTCCGGCGGGAAGGGAAACGGCGTTTCCGTGCGCTGCTCTGGTTCACCAGAAGCAGCTTAGTCATGCTGGCCACATGACCCGGAAGCTGTACGCCAGCTCCTTCGGCCAATAAATCGAGATGAGCGCTGCAACCCCAGAGTCGGCCACGATTGGACCTAATAGTCAGGGGTCCCTTTACCTTTACCTTTATTAGAGTTTTTAGGGGGTTAACCAGGCTTGGATAGCAGGCTTGTTGATTTTTAAATGCCTTATGCAGATATTTTCAATTTCGTTGTTCTGTATGGGACAATGACAATAAAGATTATTGTATCGTATTGTATCGTATTGAGTACCTCTTCACACAACAGATAGTTAAACTATGGAATTCAGTCCCACAAGAGGCAGTAATGGCTTTGAAAGAGGACTGGACAAATTCATGGAGGATATCAATACTTGGCTGTACTCTGTTTCCACTGTTGGGGGAAGCTGGATAGCTGTTGAGAACAGGATGCTGAATTAGATGGGCCACTAGCCTGGTCTTACATTCTTATGGTGCAGAAAAGCAGCGGAAATTCTGTGAAATGTCTTGTGTGGCAGTGGAGTTTCCAAACACCTGTTCATGCATACAGTATATGTGTGTTTACTTCTCCCTCGCACAACAGTTTCCCCATCCAACTGCCAGGCATGGGACAATCAGCACTAATTATATATGTTATTGACCCACCAATCAAAGTTTGTAAAGAGTAATGCTGAAATTTACAAACTTTCTCCCCACTCCTGCCCTAGTTCTGCTAGGTTGTTCACAATAGCTGTGCGATTCTTGGAAACTTGCAACCCTTCCATTAGTTTTGCCTGTACTGTATAGTAAGGGCGTTCTATACATTTCACCTATGCATTTCAGACTACACGAACCACCTGAATGAAGCCTGCTGACCACCAGTGGGCTGTAAACTATAGTTTGGAACCTCTGGCCTAGATAACCCTTTAAACAAGCTCTTGTACTTTCTACCGTTCTCGCTTAAACTGGTACAGTGACAGTATTGGAGAAGCCCCTTCACTGTAGAGGGGAAGCTGACAAAGAGTTTCAAAACTGCAGAGGGAGTGGTGGGGAAGCTTGCAAGCTCTGCTTTTTGCAGCCTTTGCAAACAATGCACAACTTCTTGCTGGAATAACTGTGTGCAGCAGTTGCACACATGTGTAACTTAAATGACAATTTCCTTCCACTCTCACAGCAAGCATGGAGAGGTGTCTTCTCCACAGAAGTGAAAATGATAAGTTTTGAAGATTCTTGGGCTTGCAGGCCTAATTAGGTCCATAAGGCTTTTTTGCTGAGCCATCTTCAGATGTGGAAAATTGAAGCCATGGCTGCTGCAAATGAAGAATCAGGAATGTAATTTAAATGCACTCCCAATTCTTCCTTTGCAGGCAGAATGTGGCACTTTTAGAACCTGGTGCCTTTTTCTGTCATCCTGCATTCTGACAAAGGTGCAAATTCATGATGACCAAGCCACCTACCTGTCAACCTATGGAGGATTGGTAGCTTTTGGATCTAATTCCCCTTCCCTTTTTTAGGGTTTCAGACTTCATAGATATGGTACCTTGACATGGGCAAAGTTGTTCTACAGTTAATTTGTCAGGTACCTAGAAGGGCTCTAGGTCCATTTGCCGTTAATCAGAATTTCTAGGAAATCTAGAAGACCACTTATAAGAGCTGAAGATAAGGGGCATTGTAAAAAAGGAGGCAGATCAAAGTATTGACACCTTAATAATTTATTTCTAGATAATTTATATGTTTGAGGAATACAAAGGGAAGCAACCACAGTGATTTTAAACTTGTTGAATATACTTACTGAAAGTCTGATTGTAACAGACTAATGTCAGACTGAGAAGAGACTTAAGTGCGACACTTCCTTTGTGTTCTCTGTACCAGATTTCAGTGATCAGAGGAACATATATCGGCTTAGAACACATGAAAACTCAAAATGGACATAATGGAGGAGTTATTGTTAATGTAGCATCACTAGCAGGTAAGAAGTTTATATAGCTTATTTCTTTTAAGGCTATTTTTTGCATTTCCATTAGGTTGAAGACCAGTGAGATTATATTAATTTCTTAAAAACTGTCAGTTTGCATTCCTTGGTACAAAAAGAATTGGTTTAAAGTGTAGAGCTCTTTCCTATTCTAATTGACTCAAGAAGGTTCTGGAAGCTTCTCTGTGTGATACAAGCTGGAAGTTTCTAGCTGCCACTAAGTTTCTATTCTTCCCAAAAACAAGCGGAAGGTTCCAGATGTTTGGGTTATTCCTTTAGAGAAGCTGAACAGCTGGTTTAAACTGGTTCTGTTATCTCTTTCACTCATGGTGATACTGACTATATAATAATAGGCCAGAAGGAGCATGGTTTTCACTTTCTATCTCTCTCTCATTCTGGTGTGGTGTTCTGTATATAATATGCTAAATGCTAAGTTATTGTAAGTTTAGGTTAAGTCTGCTGCAACTGGATTTCTTATAGACTGTGCCAATCCTGAATGTATTAGATTTATGACCATTATGCTCATTTGACTTCAGTAGCAGTAAAGCTCTGCTGGATGAAATATTGCCTCTTGTCTATATTTTGGGAATCCTGCAATGTGTTTTAAGTTTTTTTACTCTGCTAACTACACCTTGGAATCTGCACTGGATCAATATGAGCAGAATTCATTTTTTACAATCAAACAGTGTATAAATTTTATGAACTTAGAAGGAAGGAAGGAAGGAAGGAAGGAAGGAAGGAAGGAAGGAAGGAAGGGTGAGTGAGTCAGGGAACTGCCATCAGCTCAGAGCCGAGAGGTGGAAGAGCAGTTGTGTTATAGGGAACCTCCGAAAATCTTGCGAAGCAGTTCCTCCTCTGGTGAGGAGGGAAGCCCCACCTCCAGTGGAGAGGAAGTGGTGGGAGCAGGGGATGCTAGGGAGAGCCTCAACACTGAGCCTGAGCAAATCGGAGGGGAGGGAAGTACCCCTTTGCCAGCGCCCAGTCTGCGCAGTAGGTTTAGGATCAGGGAAGGGAAGGGAAGGGAAGGGAAGGGAGGAGAAGGTTGGGGGTCACATGACTGTTATGCTGGAGGAGGTATAAGGACCGCCCACTCCCAGATTCTGCTAGCAAGTGAGCCAGACATGAACTTGTGACGCTCTTCACTGTAAATAGTTTGCACTAATAATAAAGCCTGGAAAAGACAGGTCGGAGTCTTGCCTGTTTGCTCTCGAGCAACCACACCAGCACCTGACAGACAGAAAGAAAGAAAGAAAGAGAAAGTATTTCTCCACAACGAAAATGTGCCTTCGGCTCTCCAAAATTCTGTTGTGGCATTTGCCAAGTCAAAGCATTAGTGTCATCCGTCAACCAAATAGGAGAAGAGAGCTCAAAATACAGTAGATCACTGTATTTTAAAATGTCATTTGTTTATGGATGTTGTTTTAAACTTTTTATATTTTAATTTTTTTGCAAGTCACCTACAGACTCATGGATTTGGGCTACTAACAAATTAAATAATAATTGCACTTTTCAGTATGCAGTATAGCAGCAGTGCTAACAATGAGAAGTTAAGGACTTGTAATCTGTCTTATCTATGAACTTCCTGTCTCTTGTAGAGGGTGCTATGACTATGTGTTCATCAAACATTATTATTTCCAGTTCAAGTAAACATGGGAAGTTATACCAGCAAAACACAAAACAAAACCCACCCAAATGCCGAAACTATAATAGCACACACCACAGAGAAGTGAATAGCTCTTGCTCCAGGCAAACACATAAGAACAATAAACTTCTCATTTTTATTTTCTTAACATCCATGAACTTAATGAAAGACTCTGACAGAACTTAACCATTTGTAAATAACTTCAAAGTATAGCTATAGTATAAAGTCTTACTTTCTGATGTCCAAAAATACTAACTGTAGCATATACAACTACAAAAATGCAAATACATATGTTTAGAAACAGATCGTATCCATTTCATTTATTTATTTTGAAATCTTTATAAGCTGCCCTTCACCTACTAAGGGTGGAGTCTAGTTCATAGTTTAAACAAACCATACAATAAAATGCTAAAACAATAAAACCTATATCAAAATAAACAGAGGCTGCTGAAAGCAAAACAACAGCGACGGAGTCAAACAGCAAAACCCTTAAAATGCCTGAGAAAATAATTAAGTCTTGATCTGGTGCCAAAATGATAACAATGTCAGCGCCAGTTACACCGCTAAGAGGGGAGGCATGTTTCACAGGACCTCGATCCTCAGGGACAGGGTTGGCTGCATGCCATCTAAAGTTCCCCACAATTCTCCCAAGCAACTTTATGTTAAAGTGGTAGCTGCCCAGTTGATCAATGGGGCAAGCCCACTGTAGGAATCCCACAGGTGCAGGAGGGATCCCACGGAAGAACTTGGCTGATACATGGGATCTTACAAGGCTCACTTTATGCATGTGGATTAGCCTTAATTTTTTTTGTCTTAATCCAACTCTGATTAGACCTTCATATCCCTCCCCATGGTGAATTGTTTGCCACATGCTGAGGGCACTGTTTTGTGGACCTTGGTAGCACCCACGTGTGGAATGAGCCACTTTGTGAAAAATCATGACTTGTGTTTGTGATGGAAAGCAGCCCTTATATCTGCCCTAATATCACTTCTGAAGTGTTCATTTTCAAACTATTCTCTGTGTTGCTTTGAATACCACATGAATTGGAAAAGCAATTAATAAGTTGTATAAAAAATAATAGCCCATCTTTCCCACCTTCTATTGCAGCAAAAACCTTAAAATAAACATATAAAACCAGAAATGTTTACTTATGTAGGCTCAGTTCTTTTTAGTTTCATTCAGTATTAGTTATCAGGAGTGATGCTCATTTTAATAAATATTTGTAACTGTTTTCCTTTCCATTGTTAAAGGACTTATGCCTGTTGCATTCCAGCCAGTGTACTGTGCTTCAAAGCATGGGGTAATTGGATTTACACGTTCAATAGCCGTGAGTATGGGCAGCTGAAGAATTCTCATAATTTTCCTCATGACAAACTCACCTTGCTATTTTCCCTCCTCTCATCTATAAAATAACTGCATTATCTGAATATCTTAGCTATTCAAAGTAACTATGCTTTATAAATAAAAATTAATCTTGCTGCTTCAGAATCTGGTTGCCAGGATTTCTGAATGTCTTTCAGCTCGTTAAAGTGACAGCAATGCTAAGAGAAGCATCTGAATTGGGGAAAACCTAAAGCCACAAAGGATGGGCTAGTTCTAGTTCTGAGAAACATATTTTGTGACAGTAGTCAGTTTATTTGAGTGTTACATAAATACTATCATACACCTGCCTGCCTTAAATATGTATTGCATTGGCAAATGTTGATCATACAATATGCTTCCTAGTCTCTGATAATTATTGTTATAAGTGATCAGCAACTGGATTCCCCAACACCACCAACACTTAACATGTCTGCCATTTTCCTGTAGATGGCTTCTGAGGCAGCGAACTATGGTGTACGAATAAATACCATCTGTCCTGCTTTTGTCAACACACCAATTCTTCAGTCAATAGACAAGGAAGAAAACATGGGTCAATATGTTGCATACATTGACAAGATCAAAGATATGATGGAAGTCTACGGCGTATTGGAGTAAGTAAAGTAGGCACAATGGTATTTGTCAGATTACCCACCGCCTTACAGGACAAGTTCGGGAGAAGAAAAGGCTAAGGAGTAAACCCTAAACAAATACAGAGTGGAGTTCCTAAAACGGTTGGATGGTGTCTTGTACGCTTCCTTCTGGCAACTCCTGCAGCCAAGCTCTGCTTTCCTTTGGGCCACATCAGCGAGGGCAAGGGGGTGGGTCTTGTCATCTGGGCAGCCCAGGATCTCCATACACACTGCCCAGGCTTGCACCCTGGGGAGGTCACCGTGCCGCTGCGTAATGCAGCAAAAACAACACAGGAAGCAGCAGGAACCAACACAGGAAGCAGCAGGAAACTGCAGCCACAGCGGGTGCTGTGATTCTCCAGTGTTTTACTTCGCCACTAGAGGCACACTCCATGGTCTTTCGAGGTAGACAGATGCCAATTCAGCCTAATAGAAATTATTTAATAATACTGGAAAGAGCTATATTCCTGTTTTCCTGTAATCAAAGCACTTAAAAGTGCATCAGCAAAGTTTTAGAGAAAGAAAACAGACAAAAAAACCAGCAGTAGGTCATACCAGACAGGTCTCAACTTTACTTAAGGAGTCTCTACAACATGCCAGCTATTAGGAGTACAGTCTGGGCCGGGGGTGGGGGTTAGACCCTTTCTCCTCTCTCCCATCCCATGTTCTCTTTCACTGAACTGTCATCGCCATTCTGTAAGCTCACATGCTCTTGTGAGGCAGATTGTATTTAAAGAATAGACTTAGTTAACAGCAGACAGGGGACCTATTCTGACAGAGTATCTGATTCTTATCACTTAAATTCATTTTTAGACCAACACTAATTGCCAAAGGATTGATACAAATCCTTGAAGATGATTCACTAAATGGACAAGTTATGAAGATAACAACGAAGCGAGGAATTCATTTTCATGAATATAACACAGCACCCATTGAAACAGGGAATTCTAATTTGTGACTGTTTTCATTCCTGAAATGAAATTGTTTTGAGTTGTAAAGCAATGCTAATGGTACACCTGAGTTCTAAATATTGCTGCCAATATTCCTTGTGTGAGGAATTAGATACAAAACAAACATGATTTTTTATATTAATTTTTTAATTTTAGAAGTTTAGTTCTTAACTTAATATGAGGCTGCATTCAGATGGCAGTTTATTCGATTCTCCTGATGTTTCCTTCCCTGATAATTTCCACACTTCACTAGATCTTTCACACAATGTAAAAGCCACTTCTAGAAATCTAGTGGAATGTAGTTTAGCACTCATCCCCATGTTAATTCCTTCCGGGGGGGGGGGGGGGATCCATTTGCAGTCCTGGAAAACTGAAAAATCGCAGGAGTTTTGCTCACATAGTGAACTTTTGGGTGGTAATTTGACATACTGAGGGGTGACTCATGGGGAAAACAGGAGCACCCATGTGTGGAAAGGGTGGGGAAGTAGTTATCACAGTTAGTTTGACACTAAGCAAAACACAGGTCATCTGTGGATTCAAGCCATGGTGTGAAATACAGAATTAAACCATATATTTGGGACAGTTTGTCTGTTTGCTATGCATCTGCAGATATCTTAAGCTATCATAACCAAATTTTGCATGATGGTTCCTGAGATCAAGTAACAGGGCCTCATCTGTGTTTGGGTACAATTGGATGCCATTTTGAGTCAATATGGTAGACTGAACCGTTCTGAACTGCACTGATTTTAACCACTGATTTCAAAGCTGCACTGATGGGGGGAGGGGGTCGGATCGTAGAATTCCTGAGCAATGCCAGGGCCAAGGCTGCTACTACCTAATATTTTAAAATTTAAAAAGGACATTTTGTAAGTTACTCTCTCTTTAAAGAAAGCTTGTAAAGGGTTAATATCAATAACTACTTAAGGATCATATTACTGAATTTTGTGGTTCAGAAACCTTGTATGTGGCCTGTGTAGTTACTGCAAAGAAAATAAACTTTAAAATCAATTTGGTTATTCTGTAATGGGCATTTAATTTTTTTAACTCAGGTACATGTTTGTTTTCTTAATGTGAACAAGATATTTTTGTTATACAAAGGGAACCAATTGTCATTTATTAATACTTAATGAAATGACTTCAGTTCATTTTCCTTTTCAGTATGAAATACGAACCCTGTACTGCTTTTTTCCTCTTAGAAAGCTGTATTTTTTACTACTACATTTCAAAAAGCTACATAGTAGATGCAAAATACTTAAAATGTTCAAATATGCAAGCAACATTAACATTTTAAAACTTTCCTTACATATTTCATCTAAAATACCAAACAGGAGGACTTCATTTGAATTTGAGAGAACCTTTGCGGTTCCAAGCACAGTGAAGCCATGGGCAGTGGGTCCAAGGCAAGGTGATATTACAATAAACACAGGACAACCACTTGGGATTTAAACTGGCCACAACTTTATTGATTACTGACGTCAGGTTTTGGCACAGACATTGGATGTGTACCAGTCTGCTGCTTGATTATTTGGCAGAGTTAAACCAAGGTTAAGGGTTGTCCTATGACATATATAGAATCGGGAGCACCGTTTTGAGGATGCTATGGCCCATCAGCTGCCATCTGGGCATCCAGGCAGAAACACCTCCCCCTTGATCCCTTTAACAAGATACCCTGATTCCTTGGACCAGGCCAGGGGGCTCCCAACCCCCCATCCACCTAGACTAAGGATCCAACCCAATGCCTTATCCGCCATCAAGTTGTGACAATTGCTATGTGGGAAGCAAAAACCCCAGATGAACCCGATTTATCTTCTTCCTGGCTCTGAATATGGTGACCAAAGACTTCCATAGCAAGGTCTTACATAGGGCCTGTCCACTTATCCCCAGGTAGTCCTACACATAAAGTTTGGGGTAGGTGGTGAATCCATCATCAACTGAGGCTGAGGCCTGTGTTCAGCCGGCTTTTACACCCAGGGTCCGCTTCCCTCTGGTCCGCTCACTAAACCACTGCAAATCGCAGCAGTCAGCGCAGCCAATGGAGCAGGAGGAAGTAATGTTCTCCCCTGGCTGTGCTGAAGCCAGAAGATCACCCTGCCACTGCAACCATGCTGGATCTCAACTGTCACTCCTCTGCAGCCAGCAGGTAAGTGGCCTTCTCACACAATGCTCTTTCACCAACCACTTGTGACTGGCAGAAAGGCACCTTTGCAAGAAACTCAATGACACAATTTTTTTTTAATAAAAAAAACCAAAACAAGATTGCATTGATATAAATTGAAAATGATTTACCTAAACAAGATTCTGTTTTATATAAACATGAGATCTAGATCCAAAGAACTGTGAGAAATTGATTAAATCTGCAATTAAGCATGGATTCAGTGTGTTCCATCACCCTAACAACCACCTCAGACCAGAGTCGCCCTCTTTCTTTTGCTGTGCTATTTTCAGAATAAGCTGCTATCTGTGGCTTTTGGACCACAAAATAAATTTTGTTTTCTGAACAAAGCAGTGTACGTATATGATGACGAACAAAGTGACACACAATTTTTTTACAGCCTCCACCCAACACTGTCAGATTTACTGGTCTTCTGGTGCAACCACATCTGAAATAACTTGCATATTACTGTAGTTGGCATCATCAGTACTGTTCCAGTACTGTTCTCTGACTTAAGCTGTGCTATTTTTCTCCTAGGAAAAGATATGGTGCCTCTTCATTCTCTGAATCTGCAATATGATTTATGTCATCCTATGAAACACACAGTGCTTAATTATGGCTATTCATTCTCAGTGTAATTATAACTTTAAACTATGGCTCCTTTTCTGAAATTTGATTATTGCTGGAGCTTACCGTGGATAGTTTCCCACAGCCTTGGAGAATAATCTGAATGCATAGGAACTAGAGCAAACATTACCTAGTGCTGTTTGTGTATGGGCAAATATGTTAAAGTGTGAAGTATCTTTGCCTAATAATTCATCATTGCTTCTTTTCCTGCTAAGTACTTAGCGATGTGCATAGCCATGGGGCAGCGGTTGTCATGTTTCAGTTAATAATCAATCTATGACCAGAAACAAGTCCCGAAACAACCTACTCTTTTGTGCTTTGTTGCATGTCAGGAGAGATTCACCATTACTACCAATTTATTAGGAAGGGCTGCCTGCAAGAAGAACCAAGAAGAACTAGGTTCTCTTGAAGATTTCCCAAAGCCCCAGAAATGCAGTATCTCATACCCATACAAAAAACAATAGATAAGTACCTAGCTTGTAAACTGAATATATCCTGACAGTTAGATTAAGATCAGATTTACTGAATTTGATTTATAAATGTACAAACATGCAACAACATACTTCTATCTATATATAGCTTTGACATGGCTTACATTAAGAATGGGCAGACGTGAGAATATTTATTTCCCAACTTTTGTGGACTTTATGGTCAGCATCTGCAAAACAAAAGGGCATGCTTACCGATAGAAGTGTTGCAAGGGTTTTTTCTTTTTCTTTTTTTGGTCTGCTTTTCTATCCCACTTCTTGACTCAATATATTACACAGAGGCAATAGGATCTCCATGACCCTTGCAGGAGGTTAAGAGGAAGGGCTAGGGGAAGCTTCCCTGGGCTTGGATTTCTGGGTTTCTCTGGGCTTGGAAAAAATGGAAAGATTCCCTTTTTCTGACAATTCTTCAAGAAGGCTCAGAAAACCTGTTTTCAAAGGTTAACAAAACGAATAGCACATTGGGGGAAGTTGAAAGCAGAAGTGGCTTTGTTTGTGTGTACAGTGGGCAGGGGGGGAGGGGGCAGAGAAACAATAAAGCAATGTGTGTTGAAAGGTACTCTATGGTCTGTAGTATGGTCATTGCTCCCTCTCTCTTTTTCTATACTCTCTAGCAATTCTCAAAAAATCATGCATGTAAAGGAGCTAAGCAAACAGCTCTGAAATGCAACTAACCATCTGATTCAGTAGCTTTGTTTATGGAACAGGTGCCAAGTCTCTTGAATCATAAAGTCAGACTAGGACATGCCTGGTTATATTTTTTGGCAGGGTTTTAAAGTTTTCTAAATACGTTAGTGGATATGCAAATCTACCTACTTGTTATTGTTGTTGTTTTAAAGCAAAAGCCTTTTGGTTAGTTTTAAAGGTGTGAGAGCATTTAGTTCTGGGCTTGCTGGCATAATATTGATTTGTTCAGCTTCAAATCCATCCAGAATGCATGTGAAGTATTTCCACAGAGCTTGAATTGCTGATGGAAAGGTGGAGTCTATCAGAGCCGGACTAGTTTCCAGAATGACTCTTGAAAGTACAAATATGACTACAGAATCATTCTATCTTGCAGAAGAAAAACCTGTTCAGGTCTTTCTGAGATTGGCCTGTCCTATCACATTACTGGATTGGTAGAAACCACCTGACCTCTCAATAAAGAAAACCAAACCATTTTCCACTGAGCCTGATTGCTTGAAAGAGTGGATTATCATTCCACCATTTCCCCAAGGCTTCCCAGCCCTTTCAGAAATATCCCATTAGTGGCCACTTGCTGAGCAGTTATACAGTCTTTCACAAAGCACTACCAAAATTACCAAAACAACAGCCCTTGAGCCTTGCAGTAGTGATTTCTTGAACCATCACCTCACATGGATGCTACTTTGGGTTATAGCCAGTGGCGTTACTCATATTCAGAACAGACCCACTGAAATCAATAATGACATTATGATGCTTGCTTGCTGTCTTATTTTTTTCAATCTGTTTCCTAATACTTTGCCTTCCGTTGCAAGTTGGAGCTTGCTTCACATTTCAGCTTACCTGCCTGTCCTCATTTCCTCTGTATTCAAAAGAAAAGAAAGGAAAGGAATTTGCGTTGTATGAGCTTCCTTCTGCCTGCAGTTATCCTGTGTGGAATCAAAGAGGCAGACTGAGAAATAGCTGTTTGCTCGGAATTAACCTCTTCTTGCTTGACAGATAACATTTTAGTTCCACCTTTAATAACACAAACATGGAAAAAGAATACTGTGGCCCTTTAATGGCTAACAAATTTATTGTGGTCTAAGTTCATGGACTAAGGCTGCAATCATAGCACACATACAAGAGACTAACCCTCACTGAATGAGTTATACTTCTGAGGAGACTTGCATTGAATTCCACAGCATAATCACTTCATCACACTGCATTTAAGTACAGTATTGCCCTCACTTAGCATATGGATGTGTAGAGAAAGGTCTTTATTTATCTAATTTGTCTAAGAGTTTATAACCCACTCAGTATTCATAGAATATCTGAGCAGTGTGCAGAAACAGAGTGTAAAATTTAATACAAATCATTAAAACAGTTATAAAACATAGAAAACCAACAATACCCTCACCTCTCTCCCTTCCTCTCTCTCTCCTCTCTCTTCCCCCCACACCACCACACATGATGTCTATGACAATAGTGTCTCATACCAAGTATTAACAAACTATGGAAAATACTTCATGAAGCGAAAATGGAGACGTTAGATGTACTTTCCCCTGTTTATTTGTTTGTTTTGTAAGGTAAGAAAATCTTTAAGAAAAGCTAATAAAAAAGAGAAAGAAAACAAAAAAACAATTAAAACTTGCAACAATAAAATAGATTAGCTTTGGGAGAGTTTTTAATGTCTGTTTAGACAGACATTGAAAACTTAACAGTGTTAGGGTTGCTTCACTTCTGAGTGGAGAGAATTCCACAGAGGTAAGGGCACAATGCTAAATCACAACCTACATCACCACAGGGACCTGTGTCACCATCGGCAGATCTTCATCCACAGATCTAAGTGACAGGGTAGGATATAAGGACTTGTCATCTCAGGCCCGCTGATCTATACAAAGCTCAGACATATGCAAGAGAAGTAAAATGAGCAATCACAGCTGTAGTCACTGGCAATAACAGAAGGAAGATTGTGTTATCGGATGCATCTTGATGCATCTGAGAGTGCAAGTAGAGATGGTATGAGAAATCATTTTTAATCTGCATGAAGGGAGAGTTCATACTCTCACT